ATATATATATATGTATACACGCACATGTCTCTGTTTGTGTATGACGGTGTAGATGCATACAGACCGATAGCACCCGCAAGAAGCCTGGACGTTGCAGGTGTGCGTTCGCGTGCGGGGTTCGGGAGGGACTGCCCCGTGCCCCATGCTCGGTAGAGAGAGAGAGAGAAAACGGGGAAGTGATAGTTGTGATCCTGACCCTGCCGTATCCGTGGAGGCCGTAGAGCTGCTGAAAGTCGAACATCGGTCAGTGAAAAGTAGTGTAGGATTCGGGAAGAGTGCTGTGTGCTTCAGCATGGAAGCACAACTTCAAGTACCGGGTCAGCACCCGGGCGTGGAAGACGTACCCTCTTCGCATCCTCAGGGGCGGTATCCCTCAATCTGAAGATCTCTTAACCCTTTTCTTGCTGATGCGGCATCGACTTGTGACACTTAGTCATTTCATCCTTCGATATGTCCCGGCCTGTCCACCAACCAAGGCACCCTGCCGTGTTCAAAACGCATCTGCTGATGGCAGTCGGAGGCTCAGAACAAGTTCGAGATTTCGGGCCGTGAGTGTGTGTATAGGTTTTTTGGGGGCTTGTTGGGCCTGTATGTGCGTTGCAGGGCCTCCCGGTGTCTGGCTTTAGGCCTGCTGAATCGACTTCTGGCACCTGTGTACTGTATCACCTACAGTACTTGCCTGTGGATGACTATGCCATGTGCAGGCCAGCACCTGCTTTTAGATCCCTGCAAAGCCCCGAGTTGCCAAAGCAGTCCTAGGATGCTTCTGCGGAGCGGAGCCGTGCAGCACCTGGACAGAGTTCGGGCGGCAGTGCTGCCGCGAAGATGACGGCATCGTGCAGCGGCCCCAGGTTCCTATTGCTGCTCCAATTTTGCTTTTAATGTTTCTGGAATTCCACTACCAACAGCTAGCTGCAACGGACCAGCACCGCAACAGCAAACAATAAGGTGTGGCAGTTTAGTGCAGCAGCAACTAGTCTTCAGCAACAGCAGCAGGAGCAGCAACGGAGCCGCAAACCAAGTGCATCAAGCTTAGCAAAGCTGATGGCAGCAACACCTAAGGCACCATCATCATCATCATAATCACTATCATCGTCACTGTCGTCATCATGAGCACCAGCATCACCATCGTTGTCTAGCATCCGTATCATCACCCTAACCAGACCTCCGCTGATTGACTTCGGAGTCGCTGCGTCGTAGCAGCTGCTTAGGCATGCAGAGTTTTAGCGAAGGTTTTGGGTGATGTCTACGCTAGGACATTGTATTCATTTCTATCCCCAAGTTACCAAGTCGTAGTATGCCTCATCCCAGAGCCCTGTTCTAGAGTCTGCAGGCACTGGCTTTTCCTTGACGTCATACTGCAACTCAATGTGCTGTACATGTCTTTGGGAGTTCACTAATTAGCGCTCGTTGGTACGACAACCATAGCTGCGGCATGAGCTTGGGGCGTAAGAACTGCGGGCTCGGTGCTGCTTGAAGTTCGGTGCCACATGGACGAAGTCGGACAGTTTCTGGTGTCAGACAATTCTGAACATGCGGTTGTGTCACATGCTCCTGGCTTTGCCGACCGCCGCAGATGCCCTCATAGATTTGAACAGCCCCGCTGCCCAGACTTGAAGCATGTTGGCGGCTCAACACCTGCAGCCCCAAGCCCCAAGCCCAGGCCGAACGGAACTTCTCATGCCCGAAGTACTCCCGAAGTGCTACCTATCCTCCACCCCACTCTCCCTGAATCCCCCCATGAGCCCTAGCCATGCCCCACTCCGACTCGGAGGCCTGGGGGTCTCCTTGTGTTTCTTGGGCCTGGAAATCTGGGCTTCCCGGGTCCGGAGAGTATAAACCCTTGAGGCCCTTGAGCTCTTCTTGAGCTTGTCTTTGGCAGGTCCGAGTTGTGAGAGCGCACGCATGTGGGAGGAAAAGAAATAGTGGAACGATTGAAGTGCGTCTAGTCCCACTTGAGAACAGAGTGGCGATGAGGCGAAGGCCTAGGCGAGCCGCCAGATTGAACAAGACAGTCTGGTCTGAAACATTATCTCGCATGTCGTCATCCTTGCTACATCTTTCTACCGGGCATACCCTTCGGGTGGCCATAGTCGCTTGGATGGGCTGACGGACACAGAAGATCACAGAAACCCGCGTTACAGTGCAATTACAAGTTTTACGTTGGCTTGGGCAGGTCGTGAACGCATGGCGGGAGCGAGACGAGGCTGGGCAGTTTGATTGTTGGGATCTTCGGAGACTGTGACCGTGGAAAAGCATAGCATCATATGCACAGGTTTTACTTTACGCTGCATGCTGCAAAGCCTTGACAAAGACGATCAATCCGGATGCGTTGCAACTTGCAACGCTTCAGGGAGTCACATGCCCTCAGGACAGCCCTCAGGACCCTAAGGGGCAACGACACAAGCACGTAGCTACACAGGCTTTGGACACGTATCTTCGCTTAAGGCGGCATCCAAGACTTCCGATCACAGGCCGTCGTACTCTCATCATGAAAGGCTTCTTGCTTGTATTGGCTGTAGTCGAGAACGCATGCCATTTTGTCGCTACGACTTCCTACTCCTTTCCTTCTCAGCTCGAAAAGGCCCAGCAGCTCCGGCGCTCTTCCTCTGCCCCTGGCGGCTCGCTACCTGCGATGGACCTCGATGCGATGACGCAGGAGGCCCATCCGCAGGAGGTGCTTTACACTTTAATCATACCATGTATATATATATATATATATGTAGAGGTATATGTGTGTGTATATATTTTTTCCTCGCGATTTAAAATTTAGCGCCTTTGTAGGTAACCACGAGGCTCTTCGATCTTTGAGTCCACGATTCGATCTCTCCCTGGCACCCTCCGAGTCATTTGGACAAAACGTCTGCGATCGTAAGGCTCTGAACTCTGCGCGCTCCTTTGCGCCCGGATTGCTTGTATGTAGCAGGCTGTGGCGCTATTCCAAGCTGGCGATGCTCAGGCCACGGGCTGATTTAGGTGCAGGCGGAACTGTTAGGATCGCTCAGCCTCGAGATCGTGCTCCTCCTCTTTTTTACCCTTAGCCTGTGATTCCTGTCGACACGCTGACCATACCGGGTCGTCCTGGGTTTCTGGATGACGTTCGAAAGGTTACGGAGAAGCAGCTCTTTTCGGCCAAACTTGAACTCAAGCTGAAGCCGCTGGGGGGTCCCGCACTGCCTACTTTTCTGTGCCAGGCAGCCTTGGACCTGGCTGTAGCCTTCGCGAACGACGCAGAGCAGTTCCTAGGGCGGGAGTCAGGGTTCAGGGGGGAGTCGGGTGGAGCGGAGACGCCTCGTGGGAAGGCTGGGTCTAAGTTGAGTCGCGGCTTTGGTGCAAGGTTCCTGTCCCTCAACCTTAATGAATGGTCAGCGGGCGCGCAACGGTTTCAGTCGACAGAGACGCCATTGATCGTATCGAACGTTTGGCAGCAAGCTGAACCTGTTGGCTTGGAGAAAGCTTTCATAAATCCACGCCAGCGACAGGCGAACGCATCCAGTGCATGTGAATGCATTAGCCGCTTAGCTGCGATGAGTCTTAGAGCGCACGTCGTAGTCTTCCGATGAACTGAGAGCTGTATAGATCCTCGTAAGAACCGCAGACTGATTCCGGATACTGTTTGCACCTGTACCAAGAAGCGACGACAGTCCACGTGTAGCGTTATGGACGAAAGCTGACAAAGATGGGCTCCCAATAGATGTGGGCTTCGACTTCAGTGTGGCGGGCTTGCGCATACAGTGTAGCATCTTACAGTACATTGTTTAATTACACCTTCGGCATCTTCGATGTATATATGGGAATAGTATGATCCCTATTATAAGGACCCCAAAATAAGGTACCCCTAATCTTTGTAAACTCCCATATATGCGGGAGGTGGGGCCCTGCGACTGAGCGGCCCTTGGGATGATCGCAGTTTGTTTCTGGTTTCTGCCGAGGCCACCGTGGCTGCGCTCGCCGAACAGATGGGTTGCAGCAAGGAGGAGGGATCGGGGTTTTAGGGAAGATGCTTCATGCCTGGATCTTGGCAAAAAACAATGTACGATCCCTACACCCCAAGAATTGAAATCCCAAAACCCCCAAGAATTGAAATCCCAAAACGCACAGTAGGTACTGGTCTGCTGCTCGTCGCAGCGTTTCCGTGTCCATGGAGCTCATAGCATTCCCTGCCACGTGAGGCCCAAGACCTCCTGGAGGAGGCCGAGGCCTTGCACGAGGCCCGGGGAGGGAAGGGTTTAGGGTTTAGGGTTTAGGGTTTAGGGTTTAGGGGGGGTTCTTACGTCAAGGGTTTTTGGCACCAGGCTTGGGTTTCAGGGTTTAGGGCCAGGGCGTGTAGCACTGCAGATCGTCCGGGGCATGTCCTGAGTTTGCAGCAGGAAAGCCCTTTTGGCAGAGCCCGTCCGGCCCCGTCGATATCTTGAAGCATGCCGGCCGTAGACCAAAGAGCAGAACGTCGGGAAGCCCTGTCTTTCGGCCATGAAGCCACGCGGCAATGTCGCATTGCTGGTTTAGGGTTTTGAGCTCAGGGCTGTTCAGGAGTTGGGGTTTGGGGTTCAAACTCCGCCCAATGCAGGAGCATGAGATGGAGCAGGAGTATCTGGAGCTCGAGGCCCGGGTTCTTATTGTTAAGGCTTCAGGCTTAGGCTGGGGGTTCGAGGATTTGGGGTTTTGCTTGTTTCCTTCCTTCCTAACTTGCTTCCTTCCTTCCTCACATGTGTGTGTGGGTGTGTAAAAATGTAGAAGGGCTCAAAACTATGTGCGAAGATCATCAAAGTAAGAGAGTCTATGGTGGTGGCAGCATGCCTGCTACAAGAAGTTTGCGGCATCAGCATTCCAGACTAAACCATGATCACGATATTTTGCGAATACAACAGAAAACTAGCGCTGGAGGCAGGGTGCTGCCTTAGGTCCTGCGAATTGCCAGGCAGAGATGGAGTCTGGCACGAGTTCCGAGCCCGAGAAGCCCCTAGCCTCGGACTATCGTACAGGACGCAGGGTTTAGGGTTTAGGGTTTAGGGTTTAGGGGTTTAGGGGTTTAGGGTTTAGGGGTTTAGGGTTTAGGTTCCGAGGCTTCGATTTTCGGATGCTTGCTTTCTCGCTTCCGCTACGAAGCAGCCAGCTCAGAAGAAAGTCCGAAACTAGTTTACGTTGCCTTGATCGGTGAAGAAGCCGCAGGGAACCATGTGTTCAGAATGCAATCATAATGCCTCGTGAAAAAAGTTGCGGCCCTTGGTAAATCATGGAGTTTCAGCCGCATGACAACTCTCGTCGTCATCGTCGTTGTCCGTAAGCTCGAGCAATCTCATCCTGCTTTGGTACAGCCGCCATATAAGTTCCTAGTCACGGGCGTGAGAACACCTCGCAGCAACGCCACCGCAACGCCAATCAACACGAATTCTAGCAAGCGACGCTGCCAGTCTGTTGTTTGGCGCAACAAAGCGCGCATGGAAACCCTGTAACACTAAATCTCTCAGTCATGCCTGTAGTAGTTATGTCTCGTGAGATCTGTTGCTTGAATACGTGCCCGCTTCGCGCGAGTGTGCGAGTCGACACCTGAATTACATACTATCAGAATCATAGCCTGATAGTAGAGCAGAGTGGAATACGATCATCTATCATATATCACTATAGATAACATACTAGAATGGAATACGATCACCTATCATATGTCACTAGATAATAAAATAGAATAGAATTAGAATCTCTCAGCCTCAGGCCAGTCCGAGCTCCTTCGCCGGCGCTCAGCACCCACACTGGCAGCCGGGCCTCGGGTGACATCCCACCAGGCCGCTCCCGAAATCCGCAAGAACCTCTGAAGGATAAGCCAGAAAGCCACAAGGGTAG